AGTTGTTGGCGATATAATCGTGTGTGATACCTGATAGTTCCCAGGCCATCCCTGTAACAATGGGGCTATAACCTCTTGGTGTTCTCATAACATTAACAATGCACAATGAACAAATACTAGAAACTGTCTCGTTGCGAGAAATCAAACCAGAGAAACTTGAGGTTTTTGATAGCTATGTTTTGTTTGTCAACTGGGGGGTAACCATGACATTCAAAAAAATACTGTTTTAATCTTACTTCAGTGTGGGTAAGAGACAGAGCTAGACAACTTGTAGAATAGCTTTTTCTCTTACCCACACTGAAGTAAGATTAAAACAATATTACTTTTGACGTCATGGTCAGCCCCCTGTAATGATAATATACTACGGACTTTTGCTTATTTTGTTTATGAGAGGAACAGCGTCAAATAAATAAATAAGCTCTCCGACCCTGTGTGACTGCACAAGAGGCCGTTAACGCACTTGTAGTAATTCCTTTAGAATGACGAGTGTCCATGGGAGGTGCTGATTGCTTACCACCAGGTAATCCTTTTTGGACTTTAAAATAGACAGATCTCTGAGTTTATTTCGGCATTTCTTCTCAGGGTAGTCAGATAGGAAATCCGGCATTTTTCATATAATTTTCACGTACCTAAGAATAAAAGTGCTGTTTTATGGTCTACATGAAAATAAATTTATTGTTTCATTTTTGTTTCATCCGTCTGCTCGTTTGCCGACTTATCACATAAAAAACTAGCTACATAGTTAGCTAAGCTTACCTAAGTATATCATTGGGTTAAATCCAGTTTTTTTGTCATAAATCAGTACGTGATGACTGAGTGACCTTGTCTTCAAGGTATGTCACGTTTGTGTACCGGATCTGTCTAGATCATCATCATCATCGTGTCAACACGACCAGGCACGAAAGCGTGCCATATTTACTTTTTGTTAATCAGTCAATAGATCATTAATTTGGTGTGTTTTTTGCTTGGTTGTTCGTTTGTTTTATATAGTTTGCGTGCATTTATTTGTGTAGGTTAATGTAGAGTATAAGAAAAATATTGCAGATTATAATAAAAATGTGTGCAATTTTACGTTTCGCATGACGCAATCTACCTATACACAATTAAAAAATGTGCCTTATAAAACCATAAACCATAACAAAATCCTAGAGAGGGGCACTGTTTTTTTATTAAAAAAATAAATGAAACAACGCGATACGTATTACATACAAAATTCATAAAAAATAACGTTTTTGACATTTTGGTAAAACTGTAAAACTATACCAATTGCACATACTGGTAGCATTCTAATTAAGTAAATAAAAACATATTTACATGCGACACCACCATGTAACCATTCGCAAGATTTCAAATCAAATCAAATCAAAATCATTTATTCCTACTAAACCATAATTAAATAGGTACATTTGAAACGTCAAAATAGAATAGTAGTCTGTCAGTCTGTTCGTCTGTGTAGCTAGATGCTCGTTCCAAATTGAAGTTTCGAAAAAAGAACGACTTACTCTTTTTAAAAATTAATATTGGTTTTACAATTCACTAATAGGAGCCCTATGTGAGAACAATGCAGAGACAAGTTGTAAATAAAAAAGAACAAATGATGGGATCTATCATTAAATTTCTTACGCTTCTCATCTAAAATCACCACACCACATCTTAGGCATCACAATAGTAGATCCTTCAGAGCTCAAGTGTTCTCACACAACTTGAATATGTCCGCATCCTCTGTTTGCGAACCTCCCTTTTCTACAAAACTCAAACGGACAACAAACCCACAAAAAAAGTTGTATTTCAGAGGTCCCAAAGTCCCGACCCCAAAAAGTAACCTTTCTGCGTCAAAGGTACTATGTAAAACGGTTTTTAAAAGTTTAAATACTAAGGTTTTGTGAATAGGCATCGATTTTTGCTGTCTTTATAATGGAGTTATCCACGTGGTGGTTGTTCTTCGAAAGGTTTGGTTCGTTAAGATGAAATAAAAATAAACCTAATTTTAGCTTAACAAAACTACACTTGATTGTTGAATTAACATCGCGATTATTTTTCTTCCAAGACAAATCATGGCCTAAACCTTTAAAGGCACTTTTGAACGTCAATATAAGAAGTTAACAAGTGTCTGTAAGCTATTTGCTGGTTTCAGCCTAGATTCCTGTGCAGATCGAGGGAGTAGCATCATAAACTTGTATGTATTTTAGGTACATACAGGTTTACCAAGTAGGTGCATACACTTTTCCTGAAACATACAGCAAGGACTAGCCTCTGATTGTAACTCTGTATCTGAATATAATTGACCTCAGTATTACAAGAAATCCAGCGGGGTTGCGTCATAATGTGAACGTCATGACGAGTAACAGGATAGTTTTAGGTCACTAAGAGTCTGACACTCTCTCTCACCCCATCCAAGGCGGGAGAAGACATTTAAAGATTATATCAATCAACAAAAAAAAAGAAGTATATCAAAAAACGTTATGTTCAGCAGGCGACCTCTTTTCGATGATAAAAAATATATTTAGACCATAAGACAAACAACTTATCATGACCTACTAATCTAGGTATTTATAAGCGTTATGTTCACATGTGTTATGTAAGTCAAGTCCGCGAGAGCAAGGATTACCGGTTCTGTATCTAGATCAATAAAATTATTGTTAACGTTGCCATGGTCGGGCCGTACTATTGGGTCCCGTGTTTTGCAGGGGCCCAAAGACATTTCTATCTGGCGCCTTCGTTATTTTCGCTATTATTATGTTGCTTGGGCCCTGCGCTCTACAGGGGCCCAGCTATACCTACTTTTATGATATGTTGGAACCAAATACGTTATTATTCTAAAAAGGAAAGCGCACTTGTAAGAGACAACAATGAAAGATATTGTTCCAATCCCATGTAAGTTATTTGGGATTAATGCAGGAAGATGTTAATTGATGATTTAAATTCGTTGACTTAAAAAAATGTGGAAAAAAATGCATAACGTGGCTCGTTTGAGGGTTGAATTTGACGTGTATTTGAAAACTGAGTTTGTAAACTCAACTAACAACACATCAGCATGTCCTTGTGTAAAATTAAAAATTACCGAAATTGCAAGATTTCTTTATAGATCGAAAACATCAGGACGGGTGCAACTAATTAAGAACTTATCAAACGCTTTTCAGTCACACCAAAACTATTGTACATTTTACCTCTGAGTTTGTTTCGGCATTTCTTCTCAGAGTAGTCAGATAGGAAATGCCGGCTTCATCTAGTTTTTCACATATAAATTGACGTGTAAAAGTGCCGGTTAATGGCCTATTTGCAAAAATAAATTCATTGTTTCATTGTTGTTTCATTGCGTTTCCTGAAATTAGGGACCCATTTTGTTTTCGGGGTCCTGAGCTGCAGCTGCAGCCCATAAAATACGGATCTGGCCTTGTCCAATTCCCCGGCTTTCATCTAACACCTGCGATCTAATTAATATCTTAATTAATAAAAGTGTAAAATGTGTCCCTATGTCTAATAATAACGAGTCAACTTGATCCGTCTTTCATCTAGTTTTAATTAATTTTAATTGTTTTCCTTATTAAAATCTTTTTTTAGATAACGTTAAGGCGAGCCTGTGAACTTTGTTTAAACTTCTATAGCTCGTTGCTTGTACACGCGATTGGGAATACAAAAAATACAAATACAAAATAGTTTATTATGTCAATAAGAAAGTACATTAAGTATGTATATGGTTACGTGTTTGGAGGCCCCATTTACGAGTATATGGAGTACGAGTCCCCACTTCAGGCTAAATTTTATATCATTGATCAGTCTCAAATCTTTGGCCGCTACGTGCTGGCCACAACTCCATCCATAAGATGCGTTTTGCCCATGAAAGGAGCTAAACCCCACTCTCTTTTACTATAAAAAAAAACTACGTAAAAATGAAAAAATAAAAGTAACAATTTTTTTGCAAAAATTCACCTCTTGTTACCTACTTCTCTGAAAACGGAAAGTAATATTTTCACACTGAAAAATCCTATTATTGAGTCATCCAATAGCGTTACATAATAAAAATTCGAAAAATCAATCGTTAAATTCTCTTTAACACTTTGTATTCACAGGAAAAATACATTTTCTTTTTAAGAATAATGGTACCTGCATTTTGACATTCAGTGATTTTTTTGTAAGGGGAAAGTCATCAAATGATTTCCGCCGTCCAGAGTCGAGAGGGAGGGAGTGTCAGACTCTTACTGATTAAAAACCTAAAGAAAGCCCTGTAGGACCCCGTCTGTGGTGGTCTATTGGCTCTTTGAGGTGCGCATGTAACGATTCCGTGATGGATATATTTTTGTACAGCATTTCAAGTTTCAGCCGTCTATCCTGCCCTCATTTTCAATAATTTTTATTTTACTTTATATGGATTTCGAAACAGACTATTTGTTTCGAAATTTAAAAAACCCCAGTACTTACCTATATGGGCGTTAAATCCAATATCACAAAATAATATGGCGTCTTCTCACCACCAAGTACTTTCAGTGGACAGTTAGGACAAAATCCTAACAGTTATGCAAGGAACATACGTGTCGGGATATAATATATTTTACGTCAATGAAATGAGAATATTGAATGATCATTGTGTAACGGCTCAATGGAAATCTCAAACAGGTTCAATCTAACTAGAATACCTACTAGGCTGAATATATTACTTACCTTCGTCTAGTCTCACATATTAAAATACTATTATATAAGAAATATTCGAGATTTTGCCATAAATTATTGAAATTTCTAGTAGGGTGTCCACCCGATCGAGAATTATCCAGACCTTTTCACGCTCTGAACTTCGGCGATAAGAAACTTAAGGAAGATTTCAAACTTTAAATAAAAGGGCACTCACAAAAAACGTTGAGATTAAATTTAAAGTAACATGATACTGCCTTTAGGATCGTTACCCTCGCTTAATTTTAACACTACCTAAACTTTTCTCAAAAGAGGTTCGTCTTCGCTTACTAAAAAAAAGAAACTCAAACACAACAACAAGAAAATCGACTTACCGGCGACGAGTATCAGGAGCGTAACCGCGAAGCAGACATGCGGCATGGAGCCGCGCGGGGGCGGCACCCTCCCCGCCATTGGCCGAGCGATAGGGGCGGTTTAGCTATAACAACACAGCCTTCACCGCCGAAACCTTCTTACTACACAACTCACTCCACTCACAAAAAAAACTAAATCTTGACAATTATTTTGGCGCGTACTCTTGACTTTGACGTTTTGATTTTTTTAATGCGATGATACGTTCGCGTTCAGCCACGGCGCGCCACAGACTACACTTTCACTCGCGCTCTAAACGCTGATTGCGTCATTTGTTTACTTTCACTATATCAGTCACATTCGAGATATTGTTTACGTTTTTCATTAAACTTACGAACTAGTTATTGTCGGGGTACAGTCTTGGTTCAGAATTGGCAGAGTGCTGGGTCGACATGGAAACTGAAATCTGTTGGGAACTGATAAGTAAGAAGGGTTAGAGAGGTGAATGAACTCTTTGAGTGTAAAAATCTAGCTTTTAAGTATTTTCTACAGAAAATACCTAAATGCTAATAAAATTTCGAGCTAAAAAACGTTAGAAACAAACTGGTGCGTCATTAAAATTTATTGTTCTATTTTCTCGAAAAACACAAGTTTATATTCGCGAGAGGTCTTCTTAAGTAACTAGCTACTTATGAAGGACGATGGTTGACTCCGAAACATTGCATAAGCCAAGCAAACAAGCAAAGCCAAAACTAGGCTAACTTTGAAGGATTATTATTATTCTAAACCTTAATTCCGTGAACCACAATACCTATCTACCACAGCCGGCGTGATCGTGACTGCTCAGCCGATAAAATACTACAAAAGTAACGAACTTACCTGACGGCCACATATTACATTATTACACAGTTTGACTCATTATCCAAAAGGTTAACGAGTTTATTAATATAACCACGATTACAATTATTGCTAAAATTACTTGAGTTTGCATATTATTACTGTTACAATTCAGATCTAGAGCCATTTTGTTTGATAATTAAAAATAGTTCTTCGTTTTATTTCACTGCTTTTAATAAAGGTAATAATGATATATCTTATTAGGATAATTTAATTGAACGTAAATAATTAATGAGAACTGTAGATGTGCAATGGGGATGATTGCAAAAGGTTATTTGTTTTAACAATGAACTCGTCCATTAAAATAAAAGCTAAGTTTACAATCGCTTTACTTGCGAGGCCATGCAACAAGCATTGTTCTTTTGCACAACATAAAGATATAATGAATATAAAGAAATAATTTGAATTCCTAATCATAATCAATAGATGTAACTATATTACAAATGAAAAACTGTTTATTTTTTCTTTTATATTTCTTCTTCCTCCTCTTTTAAACTCTTGCAAAATATTAAATATATTTCGTGTAAAATACTGTATTAAAGTCGAAAATTATTGTTAATTAGTAATTGATAAGAGAGATAAGAATAAATAAAATATTTGGATATTTTTATAGGTACCTAATAAATGATGCCACATTATATATAGGTATATGTATTGTAACATATCAGTCGCTGCGGCTTTGCCCGCATGGTGCAATAAAAAAGTAGCCTTTATCACTCTCCAGCAAAAATATTTCTAAACACAAAAAATGGAACGATACGTAGACAAAAAAGCATATGTATGTACCTATTTGTACCTTTCAATATAATTTCAGACCGTTGCAACATAAAAACAACTGAACCAACTTTGATGAATTTACTTACAAAATCAGACGACTTTATTACACGGCAATTGTGGTTCTTAGAAACGAGACTACATTTTAACTTAAATCAAACCTTCAACCATAGAGCTAAAGTATAAAATTTATCGAGAACAATCCATAGATACAGGACCATACAGGATCAAGCAAGTACAAAAGCTAATAGATACTAGAATGTGTACCTACCTACTGGTACTTTGAGAGTTGCTAATGAAAACCGAGCGAGAGATACGTCACGGCGCACAGCGAGGAAATTAATGTGATTCAACTATGTCTGTCAGTCTGTCTGTTTCATAAGTCCCTGTTTCCAACAGTTCAAACTTATACAAGATACCAACCACGTAATTTTATTGTAGACTAGCGACCCGACCCTGCTTCGCACGGATGCTATGACGATACTAAATATTTTCACTATTTAATAGATGTTATTATACATATAAACCTTCGTCTTCAATCATCATCATCATCAGCCTATAAGTGCCTACTGCTGAGCAAAGACCTCTTTTCATACGGAGAAGGTTAGAGCATTTATCACCACGCTTGCTCAATGCGGGTTGGCGATTTCAAACTTATAATTAGAAATTATAAGACCAAGTTTCTTCACGATGTTTAGTTTCACCGTATGTCAGTGGTGTCTAAATAATCATAGAAAGTACATATAACTCGGAAAAAGTTATATTGGTACTTGCCAGGTTTTGAACCCTCATGCATGAGAAGCGGGCTCCTTAACCTCCGGGCCACCACGATTATACACCTCTTCAATCACTCTGTCCATTTAAACAAAGCGCATCAAAATCCGTTGCGTAGTTTTAAAGATTTAGGCATACATAGGGATATAGAAACAGAAAAAGCGACTTCGTTTAATACTAATGTAGTGATATTGCGAGTAATGCGAAAAGGCACGTTATAGGTAATAACGTTGTACAATCAGTTTTTACTTAATAACCGTTTTCAGATGATTGTTGGTTGCTGTTGTAATGTTATTTCCGTAGATGTAATATTGGATTGTAAAGTTAGAGAGTTTATTTCTACCTTGTCTTTAGTTAATTATTCATTAATTCGTTGTTTCGTCTAGACATTATAAAAACGGCATAATTGTAGAGAAATTGTTTGTCTATTCGATCGATTCTAGAACTATATCAATTATTTATTTGCAATATTTATCTTTGAACCCATTATTATTTACTTAAGCAGATAGAAAATTAAATTAAAAATTTGGTTAAGTAGTACAAGGACATAAAAAACCCCATTTTTATATTACAATATTACACACTTACCTATATATTTTTTGTTTGAACGCGCTGATCTTCAGAAGTACTGGTTCGAATTGAATATTTTTTTGTGTGTTTGTTAATACATTTATGGAAGATGGCTTTAGGCTATAAAACATCACGTTACGATTTGTAGGAGCCAAGCAGCGAGTAAAACCACGCGACAGAAGCTAGTGCATGATATAGGCTTTGTGTTTCACAGCCTACGGCACTATTCCAACAACATAAAAAAAAGTTACTCAACGAAAAAAAGAATAAATAAGCACAGACGCCGAATATATTTGAAATGTCAAACTGATTCCAAATTCAAATCAAACTTTCCCGCGTGACGTCATTGTCCACGTATATAGTTGCGAACATCGATTCCGCTATACAGAGAGATAATATATTTTTTCATTACATCGTAGTATTTCGTGTGGGTGAGTCTATCAAACATGTAACTTGGCTGACCTATGACCTTACATCCTACGTATATAAGTGTCAATTTACAGTGTGAAAATAATTTAACATTTACCCGTCAAATTAGATCACTTTGATAATTAAATAGAAAGATACGAGTATTATGCTCAAACTTAGAAACGAAATTTAAAAAAGCCCAACAACGCACCCCTAACGCCTCTGGTGTTGTGGGTGTCCATGGACGTCGCCGATTACTTACCCGTCTATTCGTTTACAGCCCAATCATACAAAATAACAACGTGTTGTCGAGATCAAAAAAAAAATATTTCAAAATATTAAAATCATTTAACAAGTTCTACAGATTTTATCATTAATATTTTACAACGGATAAATATACTTAAACGACTAGACGACATATTAAATTAATAGATTTAATTCACGTATCAACGACACACGACTTATGACGAATGTAGCGCTTTCTTGAATATGAGCCCCTAGCGTGGCTTGAAACTAGTACCTAGAGATCGGAGATACCTAAAGGAGATAATTACCTTGCCAAACAGTAACGTGAATAAGGCTTTATAATTTATATACCATAATCAGCACAAGCGCTTATTCAAAATATAACCAGTCACTCGCACCTTTATGTAAAAAATGGTCTCGATAAACACAAACAACTTTTACTGAGGCACAGATAATTTATAAATCCCGCATGAGAAGACTCCTACCGTTATTTTAATTATACGCATAGGTAGATATTTGATGTCATGCATGGCAAGTTACAGAAGGAAAGTTAGAAAAAAAAAACATTTGTTTAGCTTCAGAGACTAAGCAGCGAGCAAAAAAATAACAAAAATACATACTATATCAATCCTACTAATATTATGCTGATGCACATGAAAAAGTTATTGAACGGATTTTTATCAAAAAATGAACCTTTGAACTACATCCAGATGTTTAAATTTTTTACTAAAATCTTACATGAATTAATAACAAAAGACAATAATTAGTTTTTAGTCGTTGTAGTTATGGCGCAAATAAAAATATCATCTTTCCATAAATTTAAAGATACATATTATGATAATATAACAGTAGACGGAATCTTAGTCATAGAGTTCCCGTTCTGACCACGTACGGACGCCTAAAAATTAAAATTTAGATTAAGATGTCGGTGTTTTCCTTTCCCTGTTGTCAAAACGTAAATGTCGTGTCAAAGTGTGGGTGTACTGTAAATGTAAAAACAATATCAAACCTACGCATTCGAAGATTAATATAGCGTTATATTTAATACAGGCTTTATTAATTTCTTTATAAATTAAATTAAATAAAGATAAATGTCATTGACTGCCTTTCGATCGTGTAGTTAAGATTTAGAATTTGTTTAAAAAAGAAATAAATTCTATTCTATTTAGTTGGAATAAATGTTTTTGAATTTGACTTTGACTTTTTCCAAATTCCAAAAAACCCACAGAATCTGAAATTGTCTTGGTATGTCAATAGTCTGGGCTCTTGTTATTTTTACGTGAGCCTATTCCTTTTATTTTCTTATTGTGCATTGCCAGGGTAAAACGAACCCTATGTGGTATTCCAAACAATAATCTATCTCTGTGTCAAATTACATGCAGACCCGTTCAGTAGTTTTTGAGTGAAAGAATAAGAAACATCCATCCTTACTTACAAACTTTCTTGTTTACTACATTTTTTTTATGTAATAGGTCGGCAAACGAGCAGACCGGATTACCTGATGGTAAGTAATCAGCACCCATGAACACCCGCAACGGAGGAGTTACGAGTGCGTTGCCGACCTTTTAGGGATTAAGGTTTTGGAGATTTAGGGATTGGGAGGGATCGGGGGAGGGGAAGGATTGAGCACAACGCTGTGGTTGTTTCAAGTTAGTATTCTGTGAGGCCGTGGTATCATTCCGGTCGAGCCGACCCATTCGTGCCGAAGCTTGGCTCTCCCACACTTAAGTTGTTTACTAAACTTTAGGATATGACTTTATTATTCCTTTGAAGAATTAAAGGGAGTTACAATAAAATTATAATAAACAAAAATAATAGAACATCAAACAATGAAAGCACTAAAACGTGACAGAATTCTTAACCACAATAGCTTACAAGCCTGTCAAGTTTTACTATAGTAGTAGTGGTATACAATAATGTTCCTATAGCAATTAGGTACATTATTTAATATTATAATAGAAAACTTGATAATAATATGAACACAATAATTGCTTTGTTTTGGTCAAGTCAGGGTACACAAGTTAGCGTACATTGTCCTATGGGCCAGATTCCTTTCGCTCGTTTACAAAGACGATTACAAATAAAACAATTACAATCTTCAACAGAACTTATGTACAGCCTACATAAGTAACTACCTAATTGTTTAAAAATTAATCATTTTGACTTTATTAATGCAATTTTCTCTTATCTTAAATTACCATCAAAAGATTGGTGTGAAAGAAATCGTCTCAATGTAGATTTTTTTTTATAAATTTGACGTGTAAAATGTGACATATAATATCATGTTAACAAAAATAAATTTATTTATTACAGTGCTAAAACCGCCTATTGTAGTCACAACAATTTTTTTTTATAGTACCTAAGTAATCGGCTTCTTTCTTCGACACCTACAACATCAGAGCAGTTACGAGTGCATTGTCGGCCTTTTGAGTACTTACTAGGGTTTCGGAGATTTAGAAATTGAGGAGGGAGGGAATAGGGTGTGTAGAGAATTGGGAGAGGGAAAGGATGAGTCGCCCGACATTCTTAAATTCTTCCTACATGCTTCTATTGTATCTACCATTCGTTATTTTGTATTTTTGAAATAAAGTACTTATTATATTATATAAAAAACACACCTTTCACTCATTGATTTGAAGGATTCGTAGTTTTCTTGCGAATTTTCAAGATATACATAAAGATATACCCCCAAAAATATCACACTAGTAATATCAGAACACACAATCTCATATATAGAATCAAAAATGTCGATTTAAACAATTCGAAAATAGTATAAAATATATATTTGACGAAACTAAAAAGTATTTAACTGAAAAATCAATATAATATCATAAACTACGCATTATCAGTAATACCTCTTTGTTGTTTATAAGAACATTAAATATGAGCATAATAATAAATGATGCTGCAGACTCTACAAGCACCGCTCACTTTTTGATTATCATCATCTTCAAGGATAGTGAGTACTGACGATGCACAGTCGACCGTACCGTGAACAATTAGTAAACAAACTCCTATGTAATTATTTAAAACAATTGAAAAGGTACATAAACCATGCATCCAAATTAAGATATAGAAATCAAGTACTTTACTTAGTAAAAAAAACCTTTTTGTTATGCTATTCAGCGCAAAACGAGCAGACGGTTACCTGATGGTAAGCAATCGGCGTTGCCCATTCACACCCGCAACACCAGAGGAGTTATACGAGCGTTGCCGGCCTTTCGGGGAGGATAAGGATTGGGCCTCCAGTTACCTCACTCACACCCCCTAACACAATCCTGTGATTGTTTCACGCTGGTTTTCTGTGTGACCGTGGTATCGTAGCCTGGCTCTCCCACATTTAAAAATAGTTTTCAGTGCCATATATTTCATACTTTCATTCATTTATTTTACTACATTAATGTTTGAAATTAAAACTCAAAATCATGACATGACGTTATTTCTCGATACTCAAATAAATTTTGTTAAAATGGAAATAATAATTATTGACGTCATCATCCCTATAACATACAGTTAATTTCATGTGTCCTTGACTTATAAGTTAAACGTAGGCCGTTTCGGCCTTATTACAAAACAAGGTTTTACTTTAGTCTAGGACTAAACCATTGAGCCAGTTTTTGTATTTCGAATTGAAGGTAGATGACAATAAGATTCAAAATTCAAAACCCGAATCAATGGTTTAAACGTGGACTAAAGATAAATCTTGTTTTGAAATAAGGGGGAAAGAGTTAAGCTATCCAATGTTAATTTTAAGTAATGATAAGTTCAATAATATTACTTATAATATATTCAATATTAATATTACCTAACTCATAAAATGTATTCTATTTTAACAGAATCGTCAAAAAAAAGAAGGTCTCAAATAGAAGCAAAAAATTAATATTTTTAGACGCAATAAATAGTCTCATTACAAAAAAAACATTTAAATTCCGTTTCGAAAATCCGAAGAGAGAAAAAGATTACAGTGATGCATCGACAACTAAATTAGAAAAAAATACTTCATTTTAAATGACCGTGCTACATTCGAATTTCGAACGCGTTTTAATTTTTTTCTATTAAATGTAATTTTGAATCTTACTAAAATGGATTGCAAAAGACGATTATTTATTTTAATTACCTATATCGATATTCATTTGTTTTTTTTCCTATTTTTATACGAAGAGTGTTTGCATTGCAAAGTTTAGTAAATACTAGGGAATTGACATTGGTATTAAGCAAAAAAAACGCAACACATTTTTGTCTCAAAAACGAACAACGCTAGTAAAAGGTTTGTGTCCAAATTCTTACTGCAAACCGCCATATTGGCTACAAATGCCGCTCTCTAGACTATATAACTAAAGCATTTTTACTTAAAAGAAACTAAATTTATATAAAAAAAAATTGGGCATTATGTCCGAAGTAACACATCATATTTATTCTTGTGTAAATAAAATGTTTTAATTCTTTTACTTGCGATATTATTTTATTAGCGTTTTATGTATTTTTAACTGATAATTAATAGTTTTTATTTGCAAATACTTAGTGTTAAATTGCATCCATATAAAGGTACCTACTGTGAAAATTTGAAAAATGTAAAGTATTTTTCGTTATGTGTAATTGCTAATGAAGTTGTAAACGCTTTTTTATTTAATAATATAATGTTATTTTTTACATTAACACACAAGAAGTTTGAAGACGTAAATAATATTATCAGAAATTAAATAAAAATGAATTTCAACAAAAAACTACATCAATGCATCAATTGCCTCTCCCAAGGCGAAATATCATATAAAATCACAATTAATTAAACTTTTTGATGTCACTACACTAGCACGAAAAAGACACGTAATCCATAAAATCCAAATTCAAAAATCGAACATGCCACCGCACGAAAAAATCAATTCTTTTACTGGCAATTTTATGAAACGTTCGTGTAGAAAATGAAGTTTATTTTGAAAATTAAATTTGGAACATTAACACCAGTTTATTTGTAACGAATATTTGTTAATTTTGATGGTTTTTGATGTGTATATAGTGGTTGTATGGTTACTTTGTGTTGGTGGTTGTCGTGTGGAGCGCAATACGCGCTTGCCGCGGCGCGGCCGGGTTCGTACTAAGCAGTTTTGGCGGTGGAAGCGCTTTGAGGGAGATTTACCAGCTTTTTTGGGAGATTAAAAGTTTTCCGATGCACTTCGTCTACATTTAGAGGTAGACAATGTAAAGGTATTGAGTCAGTAAAGTTATAATTTCTAATGATTTTGAATAATTATTATTTCTAGTGAATTCACTTAACTTATTCTGTACCTAAAGTTTCCTGTAAAATAAGTTAGTATAATATTTTTAAATGAAGGTTATTTGTGTATATATTCATATCAATTTATATTTATTTTTAGTCAAAACGAGATCTATAACAAAAATGGAATAAAAATAATATTACAAATATATTCAACTTAACAGTCTAAAATAAAACAAAAATACACAAAAAAACATTACTAAACTAATAAACAAAAAAAAAATAAACTAAAAATTTCAAACTCCCACTTTTGTTCTGGCAACCCACCCTACTACGACGCCCTGCGTAGCCGTAGACCCCGCCCGCTACGCCGCTACGGCGCTACGCGTCTACGCCATACGTATTATTATACGTAGCGTATTATATGGTTTTTGTAATAATAATCGCGCTTGGCGGGAAGGGGTGGGTAGGGACCTCGCAGTCTTTATCAATTAACTGTTCTACAATGAAATGTTTCCGTGATCGTTTGGGAGATATTCTAGGTTATACCAGTGTAAAGGGTTTTAAAAGATAAATTTGTTTAAATGTACGAGTATGTACAGAATAGGAGTTAATGAATTTGGTTTTATATTTTCTTGTTATATAGAATGGCAAACGAGCTATTCGGTCATATGACGGTAAGCTATCGGCATCGCCAATGAACTCCAGCAGTACCAGAGGATTTAAGAGTGCGCATTGCTGGAGGTGGTTAAAGTTTTAATAATTGGGGATGATACAGAGGGATGATTGAGTCTCCCGTAACTCACACGCTCACTATGTCCAGTTCAATTTAATTATACTTATCTTAAAAAAAATGGAAAATTCCGAATAATTAGAATTGACTTAGCACAGGTTCGATAGCTTGGTTAAACCATGACGATATGTAACCGCATGTTTTTGAATAAAAAAGGATTTAAGCAAATTTTCTGCGAAACTTTAAAAATATTAACAAAATTGAGGCTTTAAAACCAGAAAAAAGTATTCGAGCGTAACTAGCAAAAAAACTCAACTTAAAAAATCGTAGTGTGAAGTTTTACTTAAAAGAGATATTTTTAGGCACATATCTATGTTACGTAAGATTGCTTTAAATACCAAAAAATAGATGTGTGTGGGTGTTCTTTGTAGTAAAGAGTTAAATATACTTAAATAAAATCTCGTTTGAAGTAAACAAACCTGCCTATAGATTCTCAGAAACGCCTTCCACAGGATTCTTGATATTTATCGTGAGAAAAAAATTGGGAAAATTCTAGTCAAAACATCGTAAGGACGCCTGGATTGTAAATGTCCAATTATAAGCTTGAAATCGCCAATCCGCCTTGAGCAAATATGATGATAAATGCTTAAACCTTCTTCGTATGAGAAGAGGCTTTTGCTCAAAAATGGGCACTTATAAACTTATGGTGATAATCACTTTATTTGTTTCAGGGAACTTACAATAATAGTCTAAAATTATAGTTTCAAAATTGTTGTTTTCTTGCCTCTCGGCGTGTCATAAACACAGGCTAGTAAAAAAGATAAATCTAGTAACAGCATTGCATCTGTATGAAGCCCGGGCGGATCGCTAGTTAAATTTAAAAAGAAAGACAGACCGACAGACTGACACTTTTTATTTAAGTGTAAGTTTGACAACAAGTTTTGTAAGTCTGTCGGTCAGTCCTCTAGTGAAGCTATTAGTTCGTCCCAAGTGTACATTCGAATAAAGAAGAACGAGTAAGAAATTCCATGAGCTATTGATGACGAGTAACAAAAAACCTTGCCCATTCACTATTAGAATATTATGTTACAAGGTGTGTATTGTATGGCAGGCGACCACGAACAAGACAGATTATAGACGCCATGTCGACACGAGGTGCAAGCCGCATTGTTCCAACAACGGCCACTAAATGAGGTTACATCAATCGGAGTGACAGGGTTCGTACCTGTAAAGGTAGTGGACGGTCATAGATTAACCTTTCTTATTTTTTAAACGTGGATCCACGCGAGACACAATGTATTTTCTATTGTGTCTTATAAACCGACATTCAACGGGTTAATAATGACTATGGTTCGAGTTACATTTGTTTTTTTTACTTATGTCATAGGTCAACAAACGAGCAGACGGATTGCCTGATAGTAAGCAATCCAGTGCCACCCATGGACACTATCAGTACTAACCAACCCATCACATAAAATAAAATACTTTTATATAAACTAACTACTCTCGAGCGGTTTCACCTGCTGCTCGGCTTCATTTAATCGTAGCGTGATGTTTTATAGCCTTTAGCACTCAGGACCGTCGTAGCTATCTATCAGTGAAAGAATTTTGGCAATCCGACCAGCGCAGCGGTTCCGAATATTACCCCCTACATACAAACTTACAAATTTTACCTCTTTATAATATTAGTATATAATAGATTAGCTCAGTTACACAGTAAAAAAACTTAACCGCGATTTCCGATATGTATCTATATATATTTTTTTTACTTAATAATAATCATAGTCACTTCGCATCGTAATAAACATATTTCCCGTACTTATTTTTCGCAGATTTTCCACTTGACCCAAAGGTTGACTGGTAGAGAATGCCATATGGCATTAAGTCCGCCTTTTGTAATAACTTCATTTCATTGTGTACAATAAAGCATTAATAAATAAATACCTAAATCAATTTCCTCAAAGATAAGGTAAAGACACACACACAGAACATAATGGCTATAGAGCTAGTTAATTCTAAATTCAAACAAATTTCAAATTTCTAAAATAGAATAGACAGTATACACGTGATGCGTTTTATTTTTCCCAGAGACAAAATTACTTCATGCATTTTAATAGTGTACTTGTAAATTTACGTAGAATTTTGTGGCCCTTTGTGGTGACCTTAATAAAGCTATGTAGGTGTTTGTTAGTAGGTTCTCTGTAAATCTGTATGGTTTTATTTTATGAGTGGAAATGTGTACGATATTTTATATTTGCTGCAATTTACCTGCCTAAAGTTATGGGTTCCACTTGAAAAAACCACTTTAAACTTTTGTGGGATGACCATGTTTTGCTACCAATGCACTAGCCCGACCACAATGATTCCTACCACGGACAGAATACTGGCGTGTTGTTTCATCGTGTGAATGAGGTTGCCGGATGCCCAATTCTCCACCAATATCTCCAAACATCAAATCCCTAACAACTTACAAATACCGGCAGCGCACTTATAACTCTTTTAGTGTTGCGAGTGTCAATGGGCACCAATTGTTTACCATCAAGTCATGCTTTTTGAGAAATGTCGATAAACGAGCTCGTACGAGTAGCGACCTATTTCAAAAAACCACTTTAGTGGTGACAATTTCAGCCGGGGTTGTGGCACCGCGACAGAGCAGGAGAAGGAATAGGGGTTTTAGTCAGTAAGAGTCTGACACTCCCTCCCGCTGTACCCTGGGCGAGAGAAGTCACTTGGTGATGTTCCCCTCAAAAAAAGGTGTGACAATTTAGTCGCATTTTCTTTATTTTTTAACCATTAAACTGTAGATCTCCTTCTGTTTATGCTAACTTCTTCAGTTTTAGGCATTTATGATAGTCACATTTAAGTTTTGTGTTTAATTCGAATCAGTATATTCCGGAACTACGAATTGACATCCATCCAATATAACGTAAGTTCAAACTAATCTAACCCAACATAACATTTTTTTATGAAATAGATCATCAAATTAACGAGCTTACGGATTACCTGGTGGTAGGTAAGCAATCGGTGACACCCATACACCCCTTTTGGGCTGGGTATAGAGTTTAGAATATTTAAGGATTGGGGGAAAGGAAAGAATTGGGCCCCTGGTAACCTCACACACAAGGCAAAATACAACGCTGTCGTTGTTTCACGCCAATGTTCTATGAAGCCGTGGGCACTCCGCTCGAGCCGACCTATTCGTGTCGTAGCATGATTCACCCACACTTAGGATTTCTATGTATTTCCCTAATAATACTTTCATTCAATTCCCTTAACTCAATCACGTTACAGAAAGTATAGTGCCAAGTGATCGTCGTCTCAATTTAACATGCATTAAGGTAATCGACCTCCATCCCCAGCGTTCCCGGGGGGGAGACGTAAATATTATCCCCTGGGGTAGCACCCCCTAGCCCATAGCTTGAGGGGAAATCGTGGCGTTATTGTATTCTACCGAATGGGAGTTACGCGCCACAGTGAAAAGCGAGGATTAATTTGTTTAGACAAATTATTAGATATTAAGGTTTTGATGTTTTATTTTTGATGAAATGAGGTAACGTTGGATTGTTGTGTTTTATGTATTTCTTCTAGATAAGTTACGTTTAAGTTTCGTATTTAATGAAATTAGTTACTATTGCACTCCAAAATGTTGATGGAAACGAAAATGCTAATAGCAACGACAACTTTGTTGTATCCCACATTGGTTTAAAAAACGTTAAAATTTGCGATTGAGCAAAATATGAAGACATTAATAATTATTTATAGATAAAAATTATTTTTTGAATCGTTTAAAAGCAAAATACTTCAAAAAAAATATTTTTTGAAGTATTTTGCATGACCCAACAATTAGTAAAAATAGGCATTGGGATTTTAACACATCGCTGTTCCATAAAATAAAAAAATATAAATTGGCGCGAAACACTAGTGCGGGGAAAAAACGCTTTATAACTCGATGACCGATTCGTAGTATTTTAACAAAATCCGACTATTCCCTCGCTGCGTTGTTAGGATAAAATACAAGAGGGGTTTTATTCTAAAATGGTGTTACCGACCCTCGAACGTCATTCTTAAGTGGCGAAAACTAAACCCGGGGCTCACAGGGAGCGAGTGAAATTCATTTGATTTGCCGTGACGAATGCTGAGAGCCGATTC